ATGAAACTACTGATTGGAGGCATCTGAAATTTTGGAGTGCATTGCCATCAGTAAGCTCCCTTTCAAGCCAATTCTAAAAAAATGATCAGAGGGTTGGAACAAGAGGGAGGGCTTTCTCTATGATAGCCTCCCATCTACGGAACCACTTCCCAACTGTGATCTGCCTGGTGCCAACCATCATCTTTTCAGCACTTGGTTAATAGACCCCTCCATGGTGAAGTTTTGTAAATGCACTTGGCTTGAGAGGATTACCCATCCCAGATGTTTTTCTTTCACAGAGTCATTCTTTATTGTATGTTCTACCTGTTTTACATTTCTGAATGCTTCTCTGAAAACATGTTCAAAGTATTTGTATTTTGTCTGCTTTTCATTAATTTTTGTAAACTGCCCAGAAAGTTTCTACTCTGGGCTGCTATTTGAAATGAAATAAATAATATATGACAGAGTCAGTGTAGTATCATGGTTGGAGTACTTGCCTTAGCTTGAGGATATATGGGTTCAAGTCCTCAAAGCATCTGGTTTACAACTGAGCGGGTTGGGCAAATTTGGATAAATCCTGTCAGGAAAACATTACTTCTGTGTGCATTTGAATTGTGGGAATCAAATCCTGTACTCCTTCTCAAAACCAAGCTGTCACTGTTTAAAATGGCATTCCCCTGCTCCTTTCTCTCACCTTTAGCTGTAAGCTACAGTACACAGGCCATTTAGTCCAAATATACATTGTAAATAGTCATTGTTGGAATTCAGTTTACAAGGAAGTATCTTTTGATAGCCCAGAGGCTATCAGAATGTCAATTCAGAATGTCTAGACTCTAGATAAGAGTCTTGAGTTCATGCCTAGTTTCTCAGTAGCTTGAATTTACATGTCTAAGCAGACCTGGACATGGGTTCAAGCTACTGAACTAAAGTGTCAATACAGGCAATTAGAAATATTGTAATCTCATTGTTACAGTGTGATTGACTGACATTCCTTTATCTGTTCTGTATGTGATGACCTCAGAATCTTATTGTAATCTCTGCATTCTGTCATCAATTTCCCTGTACCTGGGAGGGTATAAAAACCCTGTAGTTTTGTTGAAGCCTTGCAGCAGAGTTTACCTCTGCCTGCCCGGTAATGCATTATCATGAGTTGGACCTGCGGGGAACCTGGGTAATACAATAAAGCCTAGATGGTCTGGACACTTGATCTTTCCCACGAACCAGAGTTCTATTTCCTCTTCTCAAATTGAGATTCCAGGATTCTGACAAGCGCTAGTGTGGCAAAGTGGTATGTGTGCTGGACTAGGCCTCTGGGAACTCTGAACTCTAGTTCCTGCTCAACCACAAAACTCACTAGATAATTTTGGGTCGATTTATACTCTCAGTCTATCTTACAGGGTTGTTATTGTGAGAATAAAATGGAAAGAATAAAATTGTGAGAATAAAATGGAAAGAACCACCTTGTAAGCTGCCTTGGGTTCCATACAAAGAACTCAGTTCCAGAAGTTAGGCAGGGTATAATTGTAATGGAATGACAACTGTGGTAAGGCAGATATTGGAAAAACACTGTGATGCAATTATAGAAGATGAAAGCATGCCTAGTTAGACATAGGACCACATCTAAGCTAAGAAACTTGCTTGGAGATATTGAACTAGTCATTCTTTCTTAGTCTGACCAACCTAACGGGGTTGTTGAGCAAATAATATAGGTAGTGAGGAACGACCTTCCTATACTAACCTTTGAATTTTTTGAAAAGATATAAATTTAAGAAACAGACAGCCAGACAGACAAAGGTGGGCTTTTGCTGATCCAGTCGTTTTAACAAGCAGGAGAGGCCCAGGTGAGGGCAAGTTGCTATTCCCAAAGGAACAATCCTGGAGCTCACGCGCGGTGGATCTCTTGGGAGTTACTCCAACTCGGAGGCAAGTCCCACCGAGTGCAACGAGACTAACTCCTCGAAGCGTATCTAGGGTTGCAGCCCCGACCCCCACCGGGTCGACTGCGCAAGATGAGCCCGCTGAGGCGGCAGTCCCCGGTCCGTTTCACGACCGCACCGTCCTCAAGCCTCTTTCCCCCCCACGCCGAAGCCACTTGGCGCCCTTGCTGAACACCCCTGCGAGCAACTGGGCGGCCCAAACGGACACAGCTTACCATGTCGCCTCCTTCCCGCGCCGAACGGCGGGAACTGTTTAAGTGCGCGAGGAGGGGCCGCGAGACGAAAGGGCGACAAAACGAAGCCGCCCCTCCTCGCCCGGATGCGTGGCGCCATCTACCGCCGCTCGGCTAAATCGCAAGCTCCGCAGGACGGTGGTTAGGCGCCCCCGCCCTTCTTCTACGGCACAGCGCCATAGAGATAGGAAATGGAAAGAGGAATAAACGGTACACTTCATTTGATTATCAGAAGCGACTGTGGGAGTTTTTCTCCCCTCTTAATGTTGTCGCTCTAAAACTCGGCTTCTCCATGATTCGCACAGGAAACTAAGGGTGTTACCGACTGCGATGATAGTTCTGGACCTTTGTTTGCTGTGCTTGCCTATGCAATACACGTTGGAAGCAGTTCTCTTGCAATCAATAACACGTGCTCCCAGCAAGGTTAAACGCGCACGCGGGTTACAAAATTAAGGGGCTACAAGATTGTATTTCTTGCAACCCAGTAACATGGCTGTTCTCTGGAAAGCAGCACATGGAAACAAGCAATACTGGATATGATTTCTCTCAATTGATAGTGTTCCAGGACTTGCTGTCTTTTACTTTTGCATCTTGTTTATGGTTTCAAACACTCACGGCTGCAAATTCCCAACCAGTAACGACGACACAGTTTCGCTCAAATTAAGAGCGTGGGCAAATAAAATCAAAAGGGATGTAACAGTGCGAATGCCCCACGAAACTGTTCCATTTCTGTGGTGTCCTAACGTTGTTTTCTGTTTATGTTGTTCGTTCTTGCTTCATCTTGATCCTTGTCTTTGGTATGAATATTTTATTTAAAGAGAGTTGGAATTTTATGCAAAGGAAATAATCCTGCCTTCCCCCTGCCTCGGTTCACTGCACAGGGATCTCGGTCCCACTGACACACTCTTTCCTAAAATCGTCCCAACCTTCAAAAAAGAAGCAGTAAATGCCCTTTCGCTTCCCTTTTCATTTGGGAACTCTCCGCTAAGGGTTCTTTCCAAAAGGTGCAGAGTGCGAAAGCCTGCATTTGGCTGGGCCTGGTTTTAGGAAAGGGGAAGTGTTGTGGGCACATTTGGGAACTGGAGACATTATGTGGGCGCTACCACAAAATGGATCCCATGGTGGATGTGGCTAATGTTGGGAAATTCAGATAAGTCCTGGTAAGAAAAAGGTTGCTTACATATGCCTTTGTGTTATAAAATCAAACTTGCGCCCATCTCAGAAAGTAGCAGAATTCCAAGCCAGGTTCCTTTTTAGTACTGCTGTTACTTTAAGAGGTTGGAACTCCTAACTAGCACTATTGTTATGCAACAGCAACAAAACTGTTAAGCAGCCAGAGAAGGGTTTTTTTTAGCAGCATTGCAATCACCCTAATTAGCATGATCAAACTCACAGTGAAGACTTGTCATACCTTCTCATTGTTATATCACTTTCCTTTAATACAGGGGTGGGCAATTAATTTTCCTATGGGGCCACATGAGAAACTTTGACAGTTGTTAATGGCCGGACCAATACACTTACAGCTCTGCTCAATATATATCTCTATAAAAACAGTAAATGAACCTCATGCTGGCCAGTCAGGGTCAGCCATTGGGCTGGATGTGACCCATGGGCCGGACAATGCCCAGGTCTGCTTTAATCCATGGTATTGTACTGAGCTCCTTCTGCAGTGCTCTCTCATTCTTTTCATTGTTCTCCTTGTTTGGACATCATCTACCCTGCTGCTGTGACATGTGACTCAGAACCTATAAAACACTCTGCGTATGTTCTGGAAGCTTGTAGTTGGTTTGGCCTCTACCTGACAGCACTATTGTAAGTATGGGTTTCTCTACAGAAGATGCCTGATCTTTCAATAAACTACTAAGATCCAAGGTAAAAGAGGTCTTGTCCACTGATTCTGTTCATTCTCACGGCTGCTATTGAGATGTCCCATCACTAGTCACAGAGTAGAGGTGTGGCTAGTGGAAAGTGAGCTCAAGCCGTGGGTGAGAAGGAGCAGAGCTAGAGGCTGTGAGGAGCAGGAAATAGCAAGGCAAAAGAGGAGAGTCTCCGGCTGTGCCAGCTTTCAGCATCACCATGTGAAATGGTTTTAGGCTGGCCTACAGGCTTGGTTAGCAGATCCTACCCCATCGCTATTATGTGCTGCCTGGCCGGTATCTGTACTGTGTTGCCACAAGACTTTTTCTGGTATGAGGGAATCTGTTCAGAGCTGGTTGGTGAGACTGGAGCCCAAATTCAGCAGCAACGCCAGTTGTGCACCCTTGTGGAGTGCCATTGAAATAACAGTGTGGGACAGTAGACATAAGGAGCTAGACTTAAGCTAGACTGTGCTAAAACAGATACAATTGCAGCTTTGGGGGCACATCTGATTGAGGATGAGCGGTTATGCTACTTGCTGCAGAAGTCTGCTTCCCTAAGACGCTGCTTACTAAACAAAGTCCAAGTCTTTTCTTTACCTGTTATTTCAAAGGGAACTGAATTCCAGATGCCTCACATTTTGGGATGTGGGCAGCATATCACACTTATTACTTACTTTAAACCCAATGTTTATAAACCTCTAGAGTCTAGAGTACTCGTAGCAGACTAACTGGATGTATATGTGGGGCATATTGTGCTCATATAGTTATTGACCAAGATGAATAGTACACTTTTCCTTCTGTGTCCCAAAATGGCTCAGAAAGGCTTCTTTAACTTCTGTGTATACATGTTAGAAATTTATGACTATGCTCTACATAATCTCCTTCTTAAGGCCTCTAGCAACAAGACAGCTGAGCAACAAAGGTGGCTTTTTGGGGAGGGGGCACAGTATAACAACAAAACATTTTGCAATCTAAAAAGAAAAGGAAACCACTTTTATTCATTAATTTTATTTTGGGGAGTTGTGCATGATAAAAGATACACATTTGACTCTAGATTTTTCCTGTTGTTCCAACACAAGGTAAGTTTTTTAAGCTTTCTTTTGAAGGATAAAGCATAAAAAATACCATGGCACACATGAAGCTAAACCTACATACAGTCTTCAATGGACAGCTTTCATCCTCAGCCTTAACTAGACAAGTTTATATTTCTTCTAAACAGGAGAGGGTGCATGACTGTGATGGGAAATTTTAAAAAAGCAATGACTAAGATCCTTCAGCATCATTTGCAGAAAGTGCAAGACTTTATAGCATTCTTTACACAATGTATGAAACTGGCTTATAAAGCTGGAATGTACAAAACAAAACAATCATTCATTCCGAAGTCTGGAAGAGTACAACATACAAAACATTTCTAGCCCAGGGATATTACACAACACAATGCACATTATGGAACATTCCCATGTCAAAAAGAAAGGGGGGGGGGCAGGAGAAAGTAGGGTTAAGGCCGTGTTGCTCACAAACATCCATTTAAGTGTTGTACATTCATCAGAAACTACCACTATTTTGGAATTATCCTATTCTACAGTACAAACTTCGTCCATCCATTCACCAAAACACAAACCTTTTAAATCAATGATCACAGCTTCTCTGTAACAGCATTTTCAGCAGACATTTTCATTTTGTTCCTTGCTGTCATTCATAAAAAGCCACCATCACCATTTCCTCACACAACAAGCATAACTTAATGGGCACTTGTTTTAATTATGGCAACACTAGATCCTTAATCATAAAAGAAAAATTAACTGTAAAATTGAAAGCCCTGTAATGTTTACAGAGGTCAACAACAGTAGACAATATATTTTTGCTACATTGCTGAAACTTTAAATCAGTGTAAAAACTTCCCTAGTATTTTAAGTTTTCTTTTTACAATTAAAAAACCCCTTCAATATACAGTTGCTGAGTTTATCCAAAAATGAATTGACAGTATTTTTAAACTTCTAGTAAGTGCTTGCTTTGAATAAACACATGTGCACTTAAACTGCTTATGATGTTATTTCCACTCATTACTTCACCTTTGAGCATCACCTGATGCAAGAGGGATGTCTATCATACAAACCTAAACTTGACTTGATAAAAATCCTTGGGACAACTCGTGACTGATAATCTAGCTTACATTTGCAAGCAAGGTGTGCCTTAGGTTGTAACTGTGGATGTGGCAGAGTAGCAAGGCTGAGTTGGACATGCATGACCCATCTTTAGATATTAATTTAGGGGTGCAAACAACATACTTATGACTCATCTGGACCAATCTTTCAAAGAAATGTAACATTTTTTAAAAAAAATGTTACATGTCTACAATGGTGGTTCTTCTGGCAATCCTTGATCAGTTAACTGGATATAGGGCAGAAATGTTTTTTAGAAGTGAATATCTGAAAACTGGTGAGCAAGAAGCATACTGAATATTGCTAGCTACTTTTCAAATACTCATTGCTACAGAAAACTTGCTTTTGTCCTATACTCAGCTGACCAAGGCTGCTGGGTTTTCAATGGCATCTGGCAAAGATCTATACTTTAACAGGGCTCCAGACTAGTACCAGTTTATAATAGTATCCATCACCAAGAGATGTTACGAAGTCAGCAATTCATCAAGGAAGAACCAGGTTCCAATAAGGTATTGAGGGGAAGGGCGCATTCAGAAAACACCATAAACAGTACTTGAAGGTTTAGTGTGGATTTAGAGTGGGTTGTTACTAAAATATGAGTTGTTGTTGAAACAAACTACACTTTATTAACCACAAAGAACCCATGAAGAGTACCCATGGTGTTTGTTGGCTTATGAACTGTTACTTGTGGTTAACAAATCATGATTTGTTAGCACAGCTGGGTTCAGACAAGATGATAATCCCCAGTTCAAGAACAACCCACACTTAACTCTCAAGTGTTGGTTATTGTGTGGTTTAAACCCAGTCAACATGTTTGCTTTACTGAAAAGGAAAGAAGCAATAATCCAAATCTGAGGCAAGGTAGTATATACAGCATTACCAAGTTATTATTAATATAATTAAGAAACTTTTTAGGAAAGCATTTTAAGGAATGCATGGTCATGTCTGCATGCATGAAATGATCTCTGTGTGACAGGTTAACAATGTAGATTTTAATGCTTCCCTTATACAATTCATTGGGACCTGCTCCTACACAAGTTCCATTAAAATAAGCAAGAGTATAGAAGATCAGAGGTCTTCACCAGAAACATGAGAAGACCTACAGGACAGTATTCCTAATCCCTATTCAGATCATTGAAGGTTTTGGCTCAGTACCTTTTTAAAATTCAAGTGAAAATCTTGTTTCATCACAAGAACATTTTTATAGAAGCATAGACATCTAAAATTTTATGCTGGATGAGTTTGACAATGTCCCTCGAATCAAGTCTATTATAATAACATACTCAACAGTTTTTGAGTTCCTTTACAGTAGAAGCTCAGTAGCAATTCTGAGACAGCTTAAGGTTTGTGTTTTACATGATTAATAAATACACATAAAATGATAAATAGGACATTCCTTTCCCCACAGAATTTAAATATTCAAAATTATTTTAATGTCCAAGACTAATAATATCTATTGCCATTCCAGAAACATCTATGTTTCTCCAGATTCCATACAATTAGATGCTTGGTGATACTCATTTTAAGAGGATTATTTTCAACAGGGTGTGAAGTTATTCTGTTGCTTTAACATATTTAAAAAAGCATTCAAACATTGCTAATCAACATCTTAGCTTTTTTTCTCTAGCTACTCTATCATGGGCTGGCTACATAACTGTGTTGGTTTTGCAAGTTTTCTCATTGGATATATCATGTAAATGTTTTAAACAAGATATTGGGCTCTACCCTCCACATAAGCTCAGGCTGGCAGATAATAAGTTGCCACCCTGACTGCACAAAAACGAGATTATCTCATACACTGGAACCGCACTATCCTCTGTGTCATCTTGCCTAAGACTGGTGGCAGTACATGACCTCACATTGCTTCCTATCAAACTTGTTTTTCTTGTCAGCTGATGCAAACGAATTCCACATCTATGCTCTTTCATGTTGATGGAAATAAAACAAACAGGAAACATGTTGAAAATACTGGTGTGAAACTGGTAATCTTAAGCAACATGGCTTACATTTGGAAGGGGAGAGTAGGAAAGGAGAGATCCTTTTAGCATATGCTTTCACGTAGAAGGATTTTAGGTAATTTTGACTTATCAGATCACCTTTATTTATGTTTCTCATTCTTTATCCTCATACTATATACCCATATGGTGGGGAAAACAACCAAACTATTTGAAATCCCTCTTTAGGTATCTTGCACACATATAGACTTGCAAGAATTTCCCCCCAATTTATATATTTTATGCTCAATTGTTTTGGACTTTTTAAAGCCTACTTTGCTAAACCCTTTAAAACTCTAAAATACCAAACTTCTTTTGGTTGTACAAGATAGGACCTCTGATGAGATGCACATGTGTTTTGCTACCCAGTGTGAAAACAAGTAACTGAACAAAGTGAATTATTTTCATAACTATAGCAAATAACTATATGAATATGTAATGTTAGCTAAACTGATGTGTAACCTAATTTACTAATGAATTTGTCTGAATTAAGAACTTGATTCTACAAAGTTGTTAGCAGTAATATATCCCTATAAGAGTATATTTCCAGAGCTTTAGAAGTTTCAGTTTCCTGGAAAATTCTTACAACACATTGAGCAGTAAGAAAATTGATAAACATGTACATCAATCTTACACAGGACAGGAAGTTTTGCATTGATTCTTGTAGTGCTAAAAATTACGATGTTTTAGGTCTGATAGCTAGTACAGGAAGGGTTAACCATATCGCTTTATTACTAAAAGAAACTACGTAGTACAGTTACTAAGACTGAAGGTTACAAGTGTAATATCTAATATAACAATGTGATCCAGAAGATTCCCAGACTTCTTGCTGGGTTAAATAATGCTTAAAATTAACAACTTTCAAATGTGGAAGCAAACAAGTGCTCCCATTCACATGTTGAATAAACCCCTTTAAATAAAGTAGCTTTTTAAATTCTTCTCCGCCTTCACAAAAATTAGTCAGTCAGTTATATAAGTGCCTGATCTACAAGCCACAGAGTTCACATTTCTAGTATTCCACTGTCTTTGTGAATTTGGAGCGGTGGGGGGAGCAGAGGAAGAACAGGGTCTTATTTATTAATCCTTCAGTGCGGAACATATGAGGTGCAAGTCCTATGTAAACAAAGTAGGTTTGGAAATAAAACAAAAATAAAACCTGGAGATTCCTTCGGTATTAAAATTGAAATATTTAAGAGTAGACATCCTACACAAAAAGAGCTACATTGGCCCTCCAATGCTAGTAACTTCTTCAGCATGATCCAGCTCCAGTGGTTACTGTAAGTATCGATAAACTTTGAAGCAGTGATTGCCAGAGTCTGCAACTACAACGTGACCATCTGAAGTAAGGGCCAAACCTTGAGGACCATACAGTGGATCCGCAGATGTATTTATATACGATAAAAAGGACCCACTGCCATCAAACACCTGTGAAGAGAGGTAATAAGAACATGCATGAAGCAAAGAAAGCAAGCCACAATGTGTACATGTTGCAGCTTATGTGTATAAGCAGCGGGCTGGTATGCATGAAGTACAGAAAACATGTCTAAGTAGACAAGCCTGTACAGGTTCTTGCCTAGTGCTCAAAGAATGCAGGTGGATCAGAGAAACTTCACAAATGTCTATGTTAAATATAGAAAGCCTCCATATCAATGTTGTACTTTGCCTGGGAAAATAATTACCCAGTGGAAAATACCACTGTCCTTTTGTACTCATTTTACAAGTGGCATCATTGGCCAAGGCCCAAGAGTGATGCAAGTCAAGGCTGGTTTGCCAGCTGAAAAGTGTTGCAGCTGGCAAGCTACCCTTCTCTGGTCTGTGCCAGTCAAAGCCAGTTTGCCATCTGGAACCATTTCTAGAGAAACAGACACGTGCCTCACTAGCTGTATCCAGAATAGAGCACTGTAATGTGCTATATGTGAGACTGCTTTTAAAGACAAGTCATAAATCTCATCTGCAGCCCTTAGGATGCTTGCAGAGACCAGGTGTTCAAAATATGTACCACTGATATTATGCCAGTTGCACTGGCTGCCTATACCTTTCCAGGCTGGATTTATAATACCTAATACTGAAGTTCCAAATGGTCTGGTATCAGGCCTGCATCCATACAAACCTGTCTAGACCTTAAGAACTGTTAAGATCGGTCAGAATGGTTGGTACCAGGGCCTTTTCAGCAATGGCTCCTATTTTAGAACTCTTCTAGTGTTTTATTGATGTTTAAATTTGTATTGATTAGAAACCTTCTTTAAGATTTACAGTGGTTAATTTATCCTGTGTTGTAAACCGTCTTGAGCCTACTGAGGTAGAAAGTAAATACACTAATGTCTCCAAAATAAAACAAAAAACCCAAAGATGACATCTGTATACTGTCTTGAATAGTTGATATACCAAAGGCTCCACTTGACTTTTTATGGCAAGGACAAGTAAAAGAGTCATACAGCCCTACTACACTGGAGCATCTGAGCTCATACCATGAAACAGAAAGGAAAAGGTACAAATTGGACCATAACATCGGATGCAGAACTAGTCTTACTCAAGAGTAAACCACACTGAACTCACTGGAATTTACTTCCAAGTCAACATAAAGCTGCTAGGATTGTTTTTCAGCAAGAGAGGTGCAAAACCATTTATTTTTTTACTAAAATGGATACGCTATTGTTGGCAAACAGACATATCTATACCAAACTGTACTTCCTTAAAGTTTGTGCCATGTCATCAATCCAGTAGAATTAAATAATTATCTTGTTTCGCCTGGCTCTTGGAAGTTTTAGAAGAATTCATGGGTGACACAGATAGTTATATCTGTGTTCCCTTCAGAAAATGCTAACTTGTAATCCTTAGGAGGAAGGCAGCACCACTGAAATCAGTAGAATTTTTATGTAACCATGGATAGGCTTGTCCCAGAAGGCATTTAGGAGATAGAGTTAGGAAACTGTGTCTTAAGTCCTGAAGGTGGCTGGAGACATGTAGGTGGGAATCAACCAACACATCATACAAAGGCTACTGACGTGAAAAATAAGGCTTTGCTACCTGTATTCGACTGTTTCCCCAGTCTGCTACAATGATGTTTCCATTAGAATCCACAGCTACTCCTGTTGGAGCATTGAACTGCCCATTCCCTTCTCCATTTGATCCAAACTTCAACATGAATTCACCTTCCTGGTTAAACACCTGTATGAAAACAATGTTAAATAAAACAATGTTAAATGTCACAGTAGATAGTAACTGATGATGAAATTTAAGCAGCAAAGACCAAATAAAATAATAAATGTATTATTACTACTTCTGTTGCTTCTTTCTGATGTAATTTGATGTAAGTTTGGCTTTATCAGATATTTACTATGCAATTCATGTTTTTATTATCATTTATAAATTGTACTTTTTCCTTGCTTCAATTACCTAAACTTTATTTATTGGCAATACTTATATACCACTTCTCACTTGAAAGGAATCCTAAGACAGTTTACAAAATAAAAATAAACAAAAACTACACTCACATGCACACATGTGCATGTGTGTGTATACATAAACACACACACAAAATGAAGTGGGTGTAAAAAGCTTCACACGTGGGAGATTTTTTACATTTGTGTCAGCATACATTATCCTCCTCCTCTCCATTTTATCCTCACAGCAACCCTATGAGGCAGGTAGACTGAGTGACTTGATCTAAGACAGCCAGTGACCTTCACTACTGAGAGGCAATTAGAGCATAGTTCTGTCAAACACTAACCGCTACATCATGTAGGCACTCAGGTAAATATATGTACATACACTGTCCTACGTAAACTAAGCATGGTAACTTTTTTCTCTAGTTTATTCCAATGTTAACACCATTTTATCACAAACTGATGCAGAAAATATTTCCTGGAGCTAAAAAATATGAAAAACTGCTGGCATATAAGGGTGTATATAGCACAATAAAACCACAGTTACAGAGAAAGGGTAAGAAGTTCCCCATTCTAGCACTATTGTTGCAATGTACTCGGGCCAGACATTATCCAGAATGCAGTTCAATGTGTTGTGAAACTCTTACGCTGAGCTGCTTGGAATTTAATTCAGACAGATACTAAGCATATTTCAATTTTTTTAGTAAAACAGGAATACATTCTTTTCCATTTTCAAGCAGACTTCCAGCTTGCTTCTTGTTTGTTGCAACTTGGCCATAGACCTCGTAACCTTCTTAGGAAATCTTTCATTATTAGGAAATCCTTCAATTGCTACTTCTAAGGATGTAGATTTATCAAAACAGCAGCTCCCCTGTTGCTAAACTATGCCAACAATGTGCTTTATGGACTCTCATGTGGTCCTGTTTTCTTCATTGTAATCCAAATCACAGGAAAAGTTATTTCCTGTCTAATTCCAGAAGCCTAGTTGAAACTGGCCATTTAGTACCATTTGGTACTCATACATTAATTAATGGACCATGCTGTAAAACACACCTTTTTCTTTAAGACAGGAAAAACGCTGTGTGTGTGTGTGGTTTAAACAAAATATTTCATTAAAGATAAATTCCATTTTTATATAACCCCAAGTTATTAATACCAGAACATACTTATCAGACAGCACCATAGTTGCTGATACCTGCCCCAGTGTTTTGGAAATTTAAGCGAGACTAACATACTCTTTTTGAATACAGCATTTTCTCCAGCATGTTGCAATCACCATCTATTACAGGATTTATGAAAGCATAAAGAAAATCTAATTATATCAAGAGTTGTTATCCTGTCTACCTTTCTAAATAGAAGACAAATAAAAGGCAAGCCTAAATCCATTTTATGTCAGACCCATCATGTGTAGTAACTGCAACTCATGTGATTGCATAGTGAAATCAAATGCTTATCACAGAGGGTCATATAACGTAGTATGGAGTGCTTATACATGACCTTTGCAAGTATTATATAGTATTATATATTTTGCATTTCCAGAATATCATCATACCTTAACAGAGTGATTGTGGAAATCAGTAATAATTATTTCATTATTATGGTTGACAGCTGCAAAATGAGGGCCTGCAACACAGAGAAGAAATAAAAGTCAAGATAAGAAAAGTTTCTTTGTTGATGTTGTTGTGAATTAACAGTTCACACACACTATTAACAATGAACATACTCTGCAAGGGCATAAATAGAAGCTGAAAGTCCCCAGTGATAGACCAAATGTCCCTTGTTGTTGTTAGTTGTGAAGTCGTGTCCCACCCTTCCCGACCCCATGGACAACATTCCTCCAGGCCTTTCTGTCCTCCACCATTCCCTGGAGACCAGTTAAGCTCACACCAACTGCTTCAGTGATTTCACCTAGCCACCTCATTCTCTGCCATCCCTTTCTTCTTTTGCCATCTATTATTCCCAGCATTAGGCTCTTCTCCAGGGAGTCCTTCCTTCTCATTAGGTGGCCAAAGTATTTGAGTTTCGAAATGTCCCTATCTGGACCAAATTTCATACTCCATGAAAATGGATAAGGAATCCATGCTCTTTTTGTAATGGGTGGACAAAAATTTCTAGGCAAGGTTTTGAGGCAGGCAGTTGTCTTGCATTATTATACACAGTTGAGGTGCTTAAGGTCCCCCACTTTTTCCCTTTAAAAGAAAACTTGCTCCTCTTTGCAATGCTATTTCCATGGGGAACTGGCATAGGAAGAACATGGCTAAAAACTATGCATCAAGCTGCAGAGCTTGAAGCCTGGCTGGCAAACTTCTTTGGAATGGTAAAACAAATCCTAAAATTTCTTCAGACCCTTGGTCTGTAGAATAAGCTATGCCATCCTGCTCCATCCCTCAGATGACTGAAATTTCTCCTGCCCCATTTCAGTTATCATCACACTACCAATGGTCAAACTCAGGCTAGCCTATAAATATCACCCAGGTCTGGCCAATACACACATTGGTCAGAAGTTAGTCTTTGCATTCAAGATACAGGTTTTTGAAAATGCAAATTACACTGGCATATGTGTGTGCCTGGAGAGGAAGGGTTGATACCAGAGCAGCAGAGAGGCAGAGCTTATCCTCCCCTGCTGTGGCTGGTCATTAAAAAAAAAAACAACAACCCCTATTCAAAAGTTGGTATTTGCTCTGGAGTTGGGGGACTCCCAAACAGGTGCCAGATTGGCATGTTCTCTTCCCCCTACTGTACTTCCAACCCAGCCAACAGACTAAGCAGGTGATAATCAACTGCTAACTCAACAAATATATGGAAGTGGGAAGTGGTATAATATTACCACTATTAAATGGTCAAGTAGCATTAAATTTGCTACTTGACCATATTCAAATAGGCTGACCAGCCCCTTCTCCATTAGATTTTAATTTTTAGAATAAATTGTGTGTTAAGCAATAAACCATTGAAAACACATTTAATAAATGCAAATGGATAGGAATTCTTTTTGCACAGATGAGATTTTCAACTGTAAAAATTAAAAGGTGCATCACAGCGTTCACTGAATGGCATTGTAAGAAATGAAATGGCAGGTAAAGAGTCAGAGCATGGTGGTGTTCCTGTGCCTGGGACAGGTAATTTCCTCAGGCCCCTGGGTAGCCAAATCAATCTCTGAAGGTCTGCCTTAACCTAACTACAAAAAGATGTTGCCAGGCAGGCCATGGTGGGGACGCTGTTTCTTAGACAAGTCTCCACCTGCACTGAGCTATACCAATGATACATTTCAGCAGTTTGTCAAAGGTCAACTCAACCTGAAACCAAAATCTTTGCACATGCTGAACTGCATGAATAAAATTGATGTGCGAACAGAGGTTCATACTACATGTCCCATCCATACCTGCACACACATTTTATCTGAAATGAGTCTAGGAAGATGGAGAGTCAGGGCAGATGAAAGAAGCTGCGTCTATGTTCTACCTTAGCCCAAGGGCTCTCTTGTACTACCAGCAGCTGCTTTTCAACTCCAGGAGAAAAGCTCTTAGGGTCCTCTAGCATGAGGAAGGGTAATTTTCAGTTAAAATATTATGGGGGGTGGGGAGGAAAGAATTAGGGTTTGATCCTATGTTCGCTGGGGAACTCCAGAAATTTTAGGACTGTTCTCTGCCTAAACATTGTACCTTGAAACAGTTTCTGTCCATCTGCCCCTACTTGGAACCTGCTTGGATTCATTTTGGCTTTTTAAAATAATTCAACAGAACTAAACATGTACTCTGCATAACATGTAATCGTACCCAGAGACATAGATACAATAATATAGGTGGTAAATCACATGATTTCTGCTAACTAGCCACTTTGGATTACAATTTCCTATGAAACTGTATGCTTCATTTTGCAAAGCAAATAAATTCTATTGTTTGTAGACTTTTCTCTTGTGCAAAAAGAAGTCTGCATACTTATAACAGCCTATTAAGTAATGATTAGTATCTCCACAGTCTTTGAGGATAAAATGAAGTCTGGGACATTAATGGGCAGTTACCTGAAGCATTTTCAGGCACAGGCTGGTATCTAATCAAAACCTACGCAAGGTCTGGCAGAGAAGTAAGGCACTAATTGCTCCAACAGATTAAACATTAACTGTAACATGAACAACAAAGACTGCTTTTAGTATTAAATGCAAACAAATGCAGTATTTGGGAACACTGCCTCAGATTAACTTGTATATCTTGAATTCCTCTTGTATGAATAATGATATTCATTCTGCATACAAGAATCTAGCCATATTAAAACATAATGCTGTTTTCTGGATCACATGTTAGTGAAAATCTGTCATAACTTTCACAGTCGTATGTCTCCCATTTTAGGGTAAGTTGCAACACATTAAACAGGCTTTGTCGATTCAGTTTGTCATGGGAAGCGTGGCACTCTCCTCAGGCGAATGTGACGAAGGAGCTGCCCTGCTGGAAACTTGAAACTGCTGAGATAAAGAAGAATCATCCCAGCCACTTTCCTACTTAGGAGGCAAAAGGAGAGGAGAAGGGCTGAGCGCTTTTTACAAGTGACGTGGCAAAGGCAGATGGAAAGCCTTGGCACGTGGGACTAATCCTGCCACCTGATGATAAGCAGGGCACCTTCAAGCAGCTATGCCCAATCTGGTTCCCTCCTCTTTCCATCTGCTTTTCCTTTGGGAAAGCCGCACAGAAGTCTGTAGACTACAACTTTTGGCTTGGCCAGACCAAACTTGTAGACCATGGCACATAGGTAAGGATAGCAACAGCTTTTCCAGATTATTGAATTATCACTCATTAGTGAGTAGAAGACAAAAAGGGATACATATTAACTTGGAAGAAATACCTGCAAACTGTTTATCTCCATTGCCTCGACTTCCAAACCTGGCCACTATTTTCCCATTGGGCTGGAAGATAAAAACGCAACATGCTTTGTTGTCCACTACAATGATGTGCCCATTGCGATCCACGGAGACGCCTTTTGGTCCCATAAGTTTTCCAGATCCAATCTTTGCCTATAGGAGCAAAGGAAGGGATTTAAGTTTTCTTTTAACACACAAATATCTGGCTGTAGTATTGGTAGCATAAATACTAGCATTAAATTTGAATTACTGTATTGTAATCCATTTGAAAAGGGTTTGGAAACATCAGTTAGTCCAGAGTGTCTGTAAGTAACAGGAGCTGCCTACGGGAAGCATGTAACTCCCTTGCTGAAACAGCTGCACTGGTTTCAGATTATTTCTGGGCCCAGTTCAGAGTTCTAGTGATGACTTCAAAAGCCTTCATGGTTTGGAATCAGGAAGTAGGATGGACTGCTTTTTCCCATACAAACCTGCCCTCTTGATTAAGTGGAGGCCCTCTGATGTGTTATACCAACTCGAGCAGTCCTACAGAGTCATGCCACAGGACCATGTAACTCAGTGCTGTCAAGATTTGCCCAGCCCTACTTGGATATAATGAAGATTTAACCTGGGTTCTTCCACAGGTAAAACAAGTGCTCAACCACTGAGTTGTGCTCCTCAAGCCCAGAGCATTCTGGGGAACAGGGATAGGGCCTCCACCTAGTACTTCCTCCCAAGGGAAGCTCATTTTGCTTGTCTCCCATCCTTCCAAAGTATGGTAAATTCTATTTCTAAAATTTCTATTAAAATACATCATATACTTGAGAACTATACTGTTTTGTGGAAATGAACAAGGGAGTGGAGAGCTCTCAAACACTGGAGGGTGATTCAGGAATGGCCAGCTTTTAACCATATTTCTTCTTCCGAATGACTGCCTCTGGGTTGCCTCCACCCTCCACAAGAAAGTAACACAGCTTGGATCAGAAAGTCCTGCCCATTTAAATTCAGGGCATTCAATCATAAACTGCTCTTTGCCAGGAATAAGTACCCCATTTTATAAGTACCTGAAGGAGCGCTTATGTCCATATATGCCCAGCCGCCCCTTGAGATCAGCAGGAGAGGCCCTCCTCCGGGAGCCCTCAGTGAAGGAAATTAGGAGGGTGGCTACTCGGAGGAGGGCTTTTTCAGCGGTGGCGCCTAAGTTATGGAATGCGCTCCCCAGAGAGGTCCGCCTGGCGCCGTCGTTATTTGTTTTTCGGCGCCAGGCGAAGACCTTTTTATTTATGCAGCATTTTAAATGTTAATATTATTGAATTTTATTCGGCCAGGACGGCTTATTTTATTTTACTGTATATATTTTAATTGTCATTGTTTTAATGTATTTTGTATTCGATGTTGTAAGCCGCCCCGAGGCCTTGGCAAGGGGCAGCATAGAAATGTTTTAATAAATAAATAAATTTTGTTTTTACATGGTGCTTGAACCATCCATGAACCATGGAGAAAGGAAGAAAGCCTTTAACTATGTAATACTACACATGTTTACTCAGAAACAAGTTCCACTGTGTTCAGCAGAGCATTTCCCCTTGTAAATGTGTTTAGAATTGCGGCCCAAATGGAACATTTTCAAGCTCTTGTCGAAGACAACCTGCTTACTTCAAGGGACATGTGCAAACCATGACCACACTCTACCCACTGCTCTCCTCATTACCCATTAAGTATTAAACCCTAATGGGTAAAACCATAAACTCCAAAAGTCATCCTTGTGATATTTTGTGATATTTTGTTTGTTCGTTTGTGGAAACATTCTGTTGTAAGTTATAGTGGAGGATTTTGGAAGAGAAAAGGTAGGTCATAACCTCTATGTTTTTCAGTCACTGTCAAGGCTGTGTCTATCAATATCATAAATTTTCCTTGCATCAGTTTTGAAATAAACAAAATAGTTTCATCAGTATCCATACAGCCATTCTTTCCCTCATCACCACCAGTTCTTCCAATCAATTAAATTAAATTTATTAAATTAAATTTAATAAACAGGATTAAATTTCCCTATAGCCATTTTACTAAGTATATAAACTTTTCATCCATCCATTCTCCAACACCAACTCTTTAAATCTGAAACTGGAGGGTGCAGTTTTTCTAATAGATTGTATGTGTACTTTCAACTTACTTTAAATTTTCCATCAGAAGAGAATATGCTGACCCACTTATTATCATAGTCAGCAATAATGATGTCACCACAGGGATGCACTGCCACTCCTGTAGGCCTTTGTAACTGACCAGGAGACCTTCCACGGATACCAAACCGACTCTTGAACTGGCCATCAGTAGAAAATATCTATTAAAAGAAGAAGGAAAAGGCATTTGCACAAAATAACATTCAGATTATGTGCTATTACACTCATGATTTAGATTGGACATGTGCAGGATTCAAACACACCACGCCAAATACTCTCACATGTTTTTACAGGACATAAAATATGTCTTGTGTGTATGTATCCAGGAAAAACCACTGGGATCCCACTGAGAGGTGGCTAATACTTTCTTTCATGCTGTGCTGCTTCAGAGCCCAATCTTTGGAAAAGTTTTTTTTCCAGGAAGGGAAGCTATTAGCAGGTGGGAGTCAAAAGGCCCCCTGTATTTCCTGGAACACAATATGCTGCCCAAAACGTTACATCCTAGCAACAGTCTGAAGCATCCTTCATTTCCAGCAAGTTTGAAAAGCAAAATTATTGGGATAAGATGCTAATAGTAATGATGTGTCAAAAGTAGCGTGGAGTGTATTACAGTTCACCAATAGGCTTCAAATTATCAAATTTTTAGGCAGAAATAAATTGTGTCCCGGGCTAAGCAGCATTTAGTTTTATATCATTTACGAAGTTCTTAGAAGTGCTTTAAACCAAATTCAACTGGCCCCAGAATCATTACGATTGTACACATGCCGATAGTCTTGCCTTGCTGATGTAAAGTACCTGGAAGAGAAGCTGCCTGGGAATATTATGTATACAGAAGGAAAGACACATAAAATGCAAAATAGTGTTTGGATCATCTCACAGGTTTAACCAGAAGTAACTGTTCACAGTATCATCCACTATAAAGTTCCTGCTTCATATAGCATGCTTCTTCTATGCATTTGATCAGTCCTGTGACTTTAGATATAAATCTATAAATTGAAAAGAAGAAGAAAATTCAGCATACCTGCACACACTGGTTATTGCTGTCTGCTATTAATATTTTCCCATTTGTAGATGCAGCTACTCCCTGAAGATTTGTAAACTCACCTTTGTTTCTCCCTTTGGTACCTAAAAGGAGATGAGAACACAAGCAAAATTGGGAAGGAAGTCAACTAAGTAGCTGCAAAAAACCTCCTCATTCCAACCCTTTAGGTCCAATGTGTAACCTCATCTTTGAGTCCCTCTTCCTTGCTGGTGGAAGCTCAGTTGTGGGGGAAAAGAAGGGCTTTCAGAAGGAGGCAAGTGAACAGAGAAAGGAAACCAGATGCAAGGAGGGCTGGATGCAGTGGAGAACTGGCATGGAAACAAAATGGACCAGCCCCTTCCAAGTTTTCAGAGAAGTCTCAAAGGAAGCCTCAGCCAGTGGTTCTCAACCTGTGGTCCATGGACCCCTGGGAGGCCGCAATGTTGTCACAGGGGGTTCGCAAAGGCTTGAAGAAATATTATGGGTTTTGCAGCTAAATATGAATTGACATTAAATTTGGAATTAGCACATCAAAATACCATAAATGGGCCATTTGAGCAAAAAGAGTGTTAATACTATTATTTGAAATTTGTATGGAATCATTGCAATAAAGATAATAGGAATGTGTGCATTAACAGATTAACTTATTTCCCCTTCTCTCCAAATTTGAAGGCCCCTCATGAGAAAATTGAAATAAATATTTGATGCAGTCTAGTGTTTTAAATCTTGAGTTTACTCTTGGTGGTCCACAGCCACAAAAACTATTTAAAGAGGGTCGATGATGAGGGAAAGGTTGAGAACCACTGGTCTAAGCTATCCCCAAGATTTTTTTTCTGAATTAAATTCTGATTTAATTTCTAATTTGGAGAAGAAGTAGTGGAAACACAGCCTTGTGAATCAGTCCATAAGAGTTACTTGCTTGTTGGGAAGAGGGTATTTCTTAGCCTGCTAAGGGTCTAGTAATATAGGTTTCTGTACTGGTCCCAAAGGAACCCTCTTCTTTACCACCTGTATGAAAATGCAGGTTACTAAGCACTTAGCGGTTAGTAAGGAAATAACGGTCACCTGCTAGCCCACTTATTAACATAGGTTTGCCTTCCTGTGTGGATAGCACAGAAACCAAGCAGACTGGCCAAGGAGTAACACAGTGATTCATCCCTTCTCCACCTACTGGTTGTATGAAATTAACATGGATTCATCTGTATGAAATTGCTTATTGCTTATGGTGTCCTGAGGAGTATTAAACAGGAGACTGAACGCAATCAAAAGGGTTCACAGCTTAAACAGTGAGACTATAATATTTGCAACAGTTAGACAAACAGAGTTGGGTAAGGAATTCTGTCTTAGAAAGATTTTAACTTTCAAGAGTGAGCAGTCAACAAGATAGAAACAGAACATGGCACTGAAGCAATATAAGTTTGGTGCTAAATTTAAGTGTAGTGCTTTAAACTTTTAGTTTAGTGCCCTCACATGTTCCCTTGCATGCCAGTACTTCATTACCCATCAAGCTCCAGTTTGAGAAAGGACTATTTTTGTTGCTTTTGTGAAGATGCACCAAATGTAATGTTTTAATTTAAGTCCTCAAGGGAGATATTGTACTGCATTTTATTTGACATGTTTCATAATCATTTCAAAAGCTAGGGCTGGAGGCCAATCAGAGATTTGTACTCGAAAAACACATGTTGTTCTTGAACCCACTTTAGTGCCATTATATCAATCTTCAAAACAAAAGACTATGTTTTCCTCCCTGCTTTGAAAATAGAAGCAAGGGTTCAATCTGATAACAACATGATGTTTGCATTAACCAAATGCAACCAAATATAAATTTTCTTTCCTCTTCATTATACACAGTCACTGATTCTTCAAGTCACTTCTTGCAGTATTCCATTTTCTTCTGTGTGACGCTACTAAAATCATCAATTTATAACAGAGACAATTATTACTGAATATAGAGCATCTAGAACATTTTTATTAACCCATTCAAAAATACTGACAGTTTCTCAAAAGATAAACAATTCATTTTTTACTATTGATTGATGTAATTACTAATGAAAAGCGTTGTTCTGCAGCCATTTTGTGTGTCTTCTCACAAGCAACTTGGTACCAAAGGCTAGATTTTTGTTTGGGAAAGATGAACTATTAATAATCCTCAAAACTAAGACAAATGTTCTTTACTGAGATGAAAAGGAGTGTCTCCTCATGCTTTATATACTAATATTGAACATCCTGAGATCATTAAATTTATTTCTTTTATTTATTTTTCGATTTATATCCTGCCTTTTTCCTACAAAGGGCTCAAGGCAGCTTACATCTCCTCCTCCATCTTATCCCCACAACAACAACCCTGTGAGGTAGGTTGGGCTGAGAGTCTGTGACTGACTCAAAGTCACCCAGTTGGCTCCATGGCTGAGTGGGGATTAGAACCCAGGTCATCTGAGTCCCAGTCCCACGCTCTTAACCGCTACACCACACTGGCTCTCATATTCAAATATTCACTCATCCTCTTTAGTCAAAGATACACTACCATATACTGATTGGTGATCTCTCTAAGACATACCCAAAGCCTAGATGCCTCCTCCTTTGTAAAATAGGAACAAGACAATCACCTTTCTTTTAAAGACCTGCAGATCATCATTCGAAGACCACCTTAGTCTTTTGTAACTTTCTGTATAAGCACTCACTCTTTTCTATCCTACCTGGTTCTGGGCCATCTTTTAATATTTAAACCAATAAATTGCAGCTTTTAAACCTTTTCACTAAAATTTCATTTCTTGAAAAGCAGTTCTGATCTTGTCTGTTTTTCTCCAAGTTTCTTTCATCATACTCTGCTACTTAGACTAATCCAAAATTACTCAAGTTATGTTTCTTTGCATCTAGAAAACATGCCATTTCTGGGCTAGCTCTACCAGACAGACAACAGCCTTTGCTCTGGCAGAAGAAAGCCAAAGTTTAAGTGAAAAATTATTCCCCTAGCACATTTGAGCAAAATACTGAGGTCATTTATGTTCTGGAAAGAATTATTCATTGAACAAAGAGAGATATCCCAAGTAAGCATACTAAAATCATTTTCATTAATTATTGGCTTACTCCCTTCCGCAACTGGCATGTTTACAACACAAAAAACCTTTCATCAATGAAGGTCTGAAGTGTCTCCCAGGTCCTTGAACCACGGGTGACTTCAACAACTGTTTTCACATATACGTTCAATTTAAAACAATGCCAAAGATCATCTACCATTTGCTTCATAAAACAAAAAATCAACTTGGAATTAATATACAGGGGAAATGAATAAGCAGAATGTTATCCCATTTGTCTTTTTCATCAATGTACTTCTCAGAAATATTGTTCCAAGAATTCTGAACTCTATACATAATATAGATGTGATGCTTCTTTCATTTTCAGATCTCCAATAGTTTGGCATGGAAAACCAGGAGAAAATGAAGCTTAAAAATTTTAACTGAGACCAATGAATATGACTCAGTTGCAATACCTTCAATTGTAACACCTCTCTATACTACAGAAAGTCCTGCAGTGCCGTAGCTTGTGTAATTTCTGTGTTAACATCCTTGGTAGAATAAGTCAATAAGTCAATTCAGAAGAAAATGTAAGTTTTAGAAGAGAATACTTTCCTTACCTACTCTGAAGATCAAATCATCTTCAATGGGATTCTCTTTCCTTTTGCCAGTGCTGTACATACTGGCTGGCCTTTTTACAGCCTTCTGTTTCACATGGCCACTGCCTGGAGACTTAACACGCCTCTTAACTCCTTCAGTGGTGGGGGATACATCTGCTGACCGGATCACCTTGAGTTTGAAAGGGCTGCCCCTAATATGCTGCTCATAAAGTCTCAGTGAGAGAGTAAAATCCCCTTCTTTCTGGACAGTGTACAAAAATTCGTAAGTGCCATTTTTATTGTCAAGTATTTCTCCATCTGCCACACTACCATCAGGAGTGCTCAACTCAGCTGTGAGGTAAGCATTCCCAGATTTACACAGCTCACCATCTTTGTCCTTGGTAGTGATGGTGACTGACATAGGCTGTCCTATTATGGTCTGTTTCAGTCCTTCACCTGTGGCCACTGTTTCAGAAGCAACAGCATTTGTGGTTAAAATAGTACCAAGATTATGAATGGACTTCTTCAGTCCTTCTGTTTCCACTATGAAGTCCAGCTGATCATTTTCTCGGGGCTGCAATGGGAAGTCTCGGACAGCCAGTTCATTCAGCTTGTCACTCATTTGCTTCTTTACAAGTAAGACTTCAGTCTCAGTTCCATGGTTAAGCGCTTGGGCAGTAAAGTTGCTACAGCTCTTAATATTTTCCTGTCCTTCCAGCAGGGTATCAAGCTGATTCTGCAGGACCTGGATAGAGGGAAAATACCATGTTATGCCATGCTAGATCAAGCAACTTATAAAGCAAGCATGTAAATAAGCTTCCACCTATTATGGAAAATGTCTAAGGATTGCTTTGAACTGAATAATGTTGCAGAAACTTGTTTAATTCAGTTTTTAAAATACTGAATAGTACTGGTTCAAGCAAGATCCCTGCATAGGAGGATATGTAATTTAAGCTGCCAGGAAAGGCATTTTAACCTGCACAAAACCAGGAGTCTACCAAATGACTGATGTTTAATAAAAGGGTACACTGACTTCTAGGGAAGCCCAAGGAGCTGTATTTGGCCCCAGGCCTGATTTCCTGCACCCTGATCTAATACATAGCACAACTACATCTGTGTCTGATTAAGACAGGCACAGACTGAAGTACCACTTCCCTCTCTCAGTTCTATCTGCCAGTGGGGCTGTAATGTCTCTGGATCTCCTTCTGGATCCTGCCTTGGAAAAGAGGCCTTTTGACTGACAGCTGCTTAAGACCCTGCTGCCAGACCTGCCAGTTTTGCCACACAGCTTAAAACTATTTGGATAGCAATTTATGCAAAAAAAGAACATCCAACCAATGAATAAATAACTATAGTACAACAGGGCAAGGTAAATCACCACACACCAACATTAAAACGTCTCAATGTCTTTTATATTCCTTTAGCAGCTTTGTAATGAAAGTCTATTGGATAAAATAAATTGAGGATTCAGTTTTTTCTGCTCCATGTTTGTTCAAGGACAGGCTGAATTAAACAGATGTGTCTAGCTAAAATTCTAACTCTGACCATAAGCTCTGCATATGGCTGAGATAAGCTAAATCCCAAGTGCCACTAGGGATACTCAACAAAGGAATAATTATTTTTAAATGATACACACAAATGTGCATCTTTCCAAACAACTATTTTCCCATTCTTTATACAGAGAGGGAAGAGGCCACATAAGACTTTACTATGTTAACAACAGTAAATAGTAATTACATGGTCTTGGATTTCAATACACCTTCAGGGTTAAAATCGCAGACTTGATATTTTGATAGGTGCCCTATATTCATGTATCTGTATCTGTTCTATTATCATCACCTTCATCAAATAAAGTGAGAGTCATATTTACTTTTTATTTTCTGCTGTAAATACATTATACCTAATGAAAGGAGTTCATTAAATATTGACCATGAATGGTGGGAGTACTATAATGTTCACTTTTCATAAAATGGCAGTTACAAGGATATAGGAATATATGCACTGCGAATCTGACCAGGAAAAGGTATTCCACTAATATCGTTTTTTATTTCAGTTTCTTTCAAACACATTTTATAACAATGTCTCTGAACATGTTTATTTGTACAAGTCACTAGTCCCAAAAGAATGAAAATTAAAAAGATAATGGGCACTTTAATTAACACTGGGATCTAAATTAGCCTTATATGGCGCACAGCCCACATTTTCTCTGCCAAAGAAGATGAGATTTCAGACCTCATTTCTCCCTGGGGCATCATGTACCCAGTAGTTAAAACCAAAACAATTTTACTGGCAAGGACAAGAGTCTTACTTTATGTTTAAGGCCATAATTCACTTCCAGTTCCATAAGCAGCACACTCTTGCGGACGTTCAAAGTCTTTTGGAGCTCATCAAAAGTGGAATGAATTTCATCTACAATGCTGGTCTTTTGGTTGGTAAGCTGATGTATAATTTCAGAAATGAAGTGAAGTGCAGTATCTATCTCAGGCAGCCTGCAGGAGAACAAACGATATCAAATGGCATTTCAAATAGCATTGCCATATTTTTGGCATCTAAAGTCATGTGACACGGAACATCTTGTCTGGGATGTTTTTACTGATTAAATCTTGATGATATTCATATTCCAAATCTTTCTTAGAGGGATTCTATCCTAGAAGCTAAGGTTCCACTAAATCATAACTTAGTGTTGTATGCATAAGCAGGAATGTGCCATGTGAGGGATATACCCACATCCTCTCCTTTGCTCTTATACCAGGATGATAGAAGATTCCTGGCTTGCCCTTATGTGAGAACCTGATATTATGGTTTAAAATAAGCTGGAATCAATTGCTAATAAATTGTAAGGAAAGGGGACCATGAACCTAATGCTCACATAAGTTGTTCCTCATAACATGGAATTTATTTAGCATTATGCATGTTCACATTCAGTGAGAAATATCCAAAGATGCCCTTGTGCTAATTGGTACAACTGCTAGTGCAACAGAAAGCTAACACCTCCTGGAGCAGCAAAAAGCCTGCAAAAATGGCTTTCCAATATGGAGCAAACCACAGAAGGGGGCTCCACTGACCTATCCTATTCAAGAAGGGCTTGCTTCAGTTGGCTTCCCATTACACTAGCAGGCATACCCACTAGCACAGCCTGTTGAGCACTGGCCAATTGCCAGCTCTGGATACTGCCCAAGATCTTCCAAGTGTACAAAAGGATTTATTTCAATTGGTAGCTGAACACATTTTGTGCAGTTGGAAAAAAGCTATTGAGTGAGAACTAAGTTTTTCTGTAGCTGGGAATATGTACTTTAATAAAGAACAAGGTTGTTTCTTTAAAAAAATAGATAAAAGAAAATAAATATAAAAGGAAATATAATTGCTGTTCTCTTCAATCTTTATAACCTTACACTAACCATATATTACTGGGACTGCTTAAATAGTCAAAGGCATGCATTAACTCATGTACGAATCAGCAGTGTGCGTAGGGTGGCTCAAGCAGTGCAAAACAGTACACAGACAACCACCTAATTGTGCCACATGCAATAGCTCTTCTGACATTATAACTGTCATATCAATATTTCCTTTCTTTGCTTTTTGCTTTGTGTTTTAGAAATGGTCCCCTCATCATCATTTTATGTGGTGGAATGAGCAGTGTTGCTTGGCGGCCAGTGAGGGAATTCCCCTAAACAACGCCAGTGTCTTTGGTTGTGTACTCTTGCTTAGAAATCTGTAAGAGCACTAGTGCCCTAGGATCCCTCAGATACCATGAGAAGTAGCCTATTGTGAACAACACAGAGGTATTCATTTCAACTAAAAGTCTATTTCTGGTTATTGATTTAAGTGCCACACGTGTGCAGATGAAGCATTCAACAAAATCAGCACCATGCAGTTTAGTTGCTAGGAGACATGCCATGAGTGTTGGCACATTTCTGTATTCTTTGGACGTTGTCTTTGCATATTCAAACCCAAAGGTCTTTTCCTTGCAAAGCCTTCTTTATTTACCAAAAACACAAAACACCCAGGATGAATCTCGGAGCATGTACCAAGTGCTTTGTTGAACACAATCTAGTATTTATCTCCGGGAAGTCTCCTTATGAGCATGCCTAGGCCCCATTCATTCAGAACGGGCCTTCTGAAAATGGGCACACCTCCTTGCTACACACTAATCCTCGAACTGGGCTACCACTCTGAAGCATTATGCGATACAGAGAGGGGCTGTCTCATCTGTGTCTAAGAAACTCCGTGGTAAAACTCCGCTCCTGCCAAGTGTACATCTTCGTTATTCCCAGACAATGCCTCCCCACCTAGGCAGTCTGGCCTTGAGAGGAGTTTCTCCGCTGTTCTAATCAATGGCAGAGGGAGAAAGGACGAGATATGCAGAAAAATCTCCAGGTGTTCACATTTTGAAAATCCCTATTGGGAGAGGTACGCTTTAGCATTATTTTAGGGTTAAGGCAAGGCCCAGCTTAGGGTTAGGGTTGGAAAAACGACGCTTCCCAGCATGGTTAAAATGCCTGCAGGATGTTCAGAAGGGGGAGAAAGGACGAGCTGTGCAGAAAAATCTCCAGGAGGTGGACATTTTGAAAATCCCTATTGGGAGAGGTACACTTTAGCACTATTTTAGGGTTAGGGAAAGGCCCAGCTTAGGGTTAGGGTTGGAAAAACGACGCTTCCCAGCATGGTTCAAATGCCTGCAGGGCGTTCAGGAGGGGGAGAAAGGACGAGCTGTGCAGAAAAATCTCCAGG